TGCGCACACCTAATGGAATGGATATGAGCAACACATCTCGAAGAACAACAGTTACAACGGTGAGTAACCGTCTTTTACTGAAAGGTGACAGACTCACTCGTCCCTTAGTTCCAGTCACACAATTATAAGGCTGATTGAAAACTCCAACAAAGTAGAGTGCATGAGTGTGGATGAGCAGAGGAACTCCAGTAACCTTCCTTTCTTGTTCATGAAATTGCATAGGCACATCCTTGCTCTTGGAAGATTAATATGCAGTTACTACCCAATTAAAAGGATATGGTGGAGGATCAACTGACTGGAAATTGTAATACTGCTCTCCCTAAAGGGGCATCTGATGTAGCTCCCAACTCAAGAAAGTAGCTCATCTTTCAAAAGGCCTGAAATATGTTTCCCTTGCTTTTTTTTATCTTAGATATATCAGGAATATAAAGTCTTCTGTCCCTCTCCCTTGTTTTTGCTGGAAGGACCCAGAGTAGTGGATTTGGGAGCTCAGGAGGATGTTGAATAACTAACAAAAGAGCTTTTCTTGTGAATGTTTGTTAGGTGTTTGAAGTAAAGTTTTAAATAGTTTGAATAAAATCACTTCTAATCAGTCAATCATATTTACTAGTTATTTGGTCATCAATAGAGACTTCTAGGAAAAACAAGGCTGGTAAGATCTGAATTTTTGGCATACATTGAAAGGAAAAAATCCAAATCAATCAAAGACCCACCATACACTAACATACAATTCCAGACCTTCTGTATACATCATAAAGCAGAATAAAAGTCACAAGCCTTTTTTTTTTAACCTTTGCAGGTCAACTTTAACATTGAGCTTGTGAAATTTTGACTCCTCATTTGAGACTATATGGTTTAGAAAAAATACTGACATTATAATAATATTGCGGTTTAGGCAGAATTCAATAATCATCTTCGGTAAAAGCTTTAGATTCACAGCAGCACCAATTTCTCCTTCTAGACTGAAAGCTCTCTAGTGTAGAGATTATCTTTATTCATGTACCTTGTACAGGGCTGAGCCCATTAACAATTCTTAACAAAAAAAAATAGAAAGAAAATCTGTAAAATGGGGGATTACTCAGTAAAGCTTGGATATCACAGACCCTCCTCACCAACACTGGAATTTTTTTACCAGCTTCTGATGCACAAACTGTTTCAGTTTTGGTCGCAAGTTTTAATTCCACACAATTGTATTCCCTAAAGTATTTTTTTTACTTTCTTTAGACTTAACAGTTTTGAAATCAAAGTCATGGATTATATTTTAAAGTTAACTTTTCAAAACAAAGTGAATATTTGTATTTTGTAGTTTAAATATTTAGGGATCAATTTTAACAGTGAAGAAAGAGAGACACTGATTGTGCTAACTAAAGTGGACAGAGTGCAGGCAGGGATTATGAAAGCTTTTCCATGCAGTCTTATCCTCAAATGAAAGATATCTTTCCAGATCTCAAAAGCATTTGTACTATATGGTTGAATTGGAGAAACTAGCAGTGTGTTGAGAAAGAGATGATTCCGAGCCTGATGTATTAGCCCGGTGTGCCATCTATCTGTCAACAGAGGCTGTATATCAGTTTATAAGATAATATAATACTTTAGCATTTTTAACACAGACACTATTATTATTATTTATTTGTATTATGGTAGTACCTATTAATAAGTATAGGCCAGACTCTGCCCTCAACTGTGTCTGTGTAAATCAAAAGTAACTGAGACTAGAATCTGATGCTATGTCATTAAGCAAATGAAGTCTAGTAGTATTATTTATGTATTTGTATTTATTAAAAAACTAACAAAACATATCTGGATACTCTGTGAACCTCAAAAATTCAATACATTAAAAAAAATCTCAGCAACTTCAGTAATATATAATAATATTTAGTAACCACATAGCACAAAAAAAAATACCAAATTCCTCATTTCCTGTATTACAAACATTCTTTTTTCGCAAAAATATAGAATTTCAGTTTACAGGTTCTCCTTTTAGCTACCCCATCACTGGTGGTGTGATTTTCTGGATATTATGATGGTATGTTTATCTAAGATGCCCATCACCAAAGTATCATGTCCCCACTCTTTTTCATTTAGAGAAGAGTCTCTGAATTCAGGTCAGTGAGATGAAGGGCATTTGATTTCCCAGATTTGCTTGGATTACTAACCAGAGTCCAAAAATCGAAGCCCACTGTCAATACTTCCCCCTACTGGAGAGCCTTTCATTGTGCAATCTGGAGGATTCCAGCCAGGATTACAATGACAATGTTTCTTATTGTTGCATACCTGAAAGCACAGGGGAATATAGCAAAATTACTCATTTAGTGAGTTTTCCTCAGAGATGAGTACTGTTGGGTACCTTCTAAGACAGTGGTTTTCAACCTTTTGTCATTTGTGGACCCCTAAAAAATTTCAAATGCGAGGCGCAGAGCCCTCTGGAAATCTTAGACATAATGTGTGGACTCCCAGGGGTCACAAATCACAGGTTGAAGACTAGTTCTCTGAGATTACACTTTTCTTGTCAACCTCCTTGTTCTAGCTAGACCAAGGACTAATCCTGCTCCCATTGATATCAATATGAATTTTGCATTGACTTTAGTGGGATAGGGTGAGGCCCAAATTTTACTGAACAGTCTGACACTTCAGAAAATACACCAGACAATGAGTTGAAAATAAGACAGCATCTAACCTCCCCAAAAAGCTGTATAAATATAAAGCATAAACCCCTGTGAGGCAAGTATGCTATACTGTACTGTTCCTTGGACCAGAGAGGTGGACTGACTTGCCCAAGGTCAACACCAAGGTAATGGCAAAACTGAAATTAGAACTCAGGGACTTGCTAGTTTTTCCCTCCTGTCCTCAATCCACTACACCAGCATGGTTCCTCCCACTGTCTACAGTCATGTTACATTTTTTATAAATCTACACTAATGTGGTCATGTGCAGTTCCCTCCTGTTCAAAGATACAGATCTTGACCCTTATTTGATTTTTTCTTTTACTAATCTGCCCAAGCAATTAATCATTTCATAATTATATTGTGCATAACAATCTCTCACATTCTAATTTTGTTACTGGTTCTAAGAAAGAAAAATGGTGTAATTTATTTTACTCAATTATTCCCATAAATAACTGTCAGTGGTATTGTGATTTTGGACCCCAAGTGTAAGCCCAAAAGGACTTTTACAGCCAATCCATAGACACTTCAAAATGGGGTTTCATAAAGAAGGAACTTCCTGAACAATATTAATAGAAGCAGTAACACCAAAATAGTAATATTATTGTTACTTACTCCATGACCATTGCATTTTACTTGTGGATTACAATCATATCCCAGGACTGCATAAAACTGGCATGTGCGGTTTATACAAACCTAAACAACAAACAAACCCATAGCATAAAATTCCAATTCAAATGAGTCCGACAATCTTAGCATTCAGTATACTGGCTGCATGCTCTGAAAAGAAGCCTAGAATGGGAAGGCCATATTACAGCTTTATGGAAATACCCTAATGCTTGCCAAAGGGTAACTGGCAATGCAGAATGAAGACAATTTCATTGTTGCTGCCTGTATTCTATAGGAGTGGCAGATTAAGAAGGGATGCTCAAGAAAAACTGCAATGAAAGAAAAGATACTGTTAATAACCACATCTACAAATAGTATGTATGTTTATACTTTTAAAAACAATGCAAAAGCACTTTGATTTGTCAATACATATGTTTTCTTAAGTTGAGTACTACTGTAACTGCTGGTGTTCTTTTCCTCCTCTGGTATAGTTTATATTCCATTGGCTGCTGAGTCCATTGCTAAGGGCCACTTTGTGCCTTACCCTTAGAGGGGTGCATGAGATGTGGGAGGAAGAAAAGCAAGGTGCTTTTTTCATTCTGTTGTGCAGCTCCAGTATGGGCCACACACAACTGCAATTGCCGGCAATGCCAAGTTGGAGAAGGGAGTCAAAGAGTCCAGGGACTGCCTCCTCCTTGCAACCCCAGGGTACAATCCACCCCAAAAGGGAAAGAGAGCAGGGCCATGGCCTCAGACCCCCTCTGCACTGATCTGTGGAAAGAGACTAATGCATGGGGCAAAGGGGTGGAAGAATATGCTGCACCCCATAATGAGGTACAGTAGCAGGGAGCTCCCATGTGCATTCGGGAGCTTCAGGAATTCCGACTCTGAGCCTCCCCCTGGGTGGCATGGATTAGCATCACTCTTTGTTCTGGGCTGTGTTCAATTTCTACCTTCTCTAGACTATTCAATATTTTCTACTCTTTTATCATGTCCCCTCTTATTAATTTCCTTCTAAAGTAAACAATCCTAATCTTTTCAATCTCTCTTCATATGGCAGTTTTTCACACCTCTAATCACTCTCGTCACCCTTCTCTGAATTCCCTCTACTTCTGTAATATCCTTTATGAGATAGGGTGACCAATACTTCCCACAATATTCTACATAAAGGTTTACCATCAGTGCATATAATGGCATTATAATATTTTCCATATTATTTTCCATCCCATTCTTTATGCATCCTAACATCTTGTTCAGTTTTTTGACCGCAGCTGCACATTAAGCAGAGGTCTTCAATAAATTATCCACAGTGATGCTCAGGTCCCTTCCTGAGTTGACACAGTTAATGTAGAACTATGCAGAGTGTATCAGAAGTACATATTTTCCACCTATATGTTTTACTTTGCATTTGCCAACATTGAATTTTATTTGCCATTGTGTTGCCCACTTACACAGCTTGGTTAAGTCTTTCTGAAGTTCCTCACAGTCTTCTCTGGTCCTGACTACTATAAATCACTATGTGTCATATGCAAATTTGCTACTTCATTGCTCACCCATATCATTAGTAAATATATTAAACAAAACTGGATCTAATATAGAACTATGAGGCATCCCGCTGTTAATCTTTTGCTATGATTAAAACTGTTCTTTGCTTCCTGTCTTTTAGGCCAGGTTTACCCTACACATTTTTTTCAACATAGCTCTGTTCAGGAGAGTGATGGGGTTTGGTTTGTGACTGACATACCTGCACCATCCTACTGTAGATGCAGTATCTGTACTGGCAAAACTGTGCCAGTTTACTTTTGCCAGTAAAGTCTATTTCGCTCAGGAGGACTGGAATAAGCTATGCCTGAAAAAGCAGATTTTTGCTGTTATAAGCTGTTTCTACACTAGGAGTGATTTTTGACAACACTTTGCCTCAATCCCCCTGACTACTTATTCTCTTTAGTAGCTTTTTGGGAAGGACTTTGTCAAAGGCCTTTTCAAAGTCTAAATAAATTATGTCAGCTAGTTCTCCTTTATCCACTACTTTACTGACACATTCAAAGAATTCTAATAGGTTGGTGAGACATGATTTTCCTTTGCAGAAACAGTGTTAGTGTCTATCATCTCATGATCTTCCAGATATTTTACTATTCCATCTTTAATTATAATTTCAGCCAATTTACCAGGTACAGACGTAAAGTTTGCAGGGCTCTAATTCCCTGGATCACACCTAGACTCATTTAAAAGCAACATTTGCTACTCTCCGATCCTCTGATTTAGTTGGTGGTTTTTTTTTTTTTAAGAGAGATTGCATATTTTTGCATAAGATTGCATAAGAGAGCAGCTCAGTCACTTTGTACTTGAACGCCTTCTTAAATCAGGCCTTTTTCAGTGCCTGTGTTGGCCAGGATTCTCCACTTGTACCACTGCTTATTATTTTAGTAAATATTTGTTTTTAAATTATCTTCTCCCCTAAAACAGCACATTTCAACCTTGATTTTATTTTATATATTGGTGGAGGGAGGAATCCAAAATCAGACTTAGAACATGATCATGGTTGTACACTTAACTAGGGTAACACTATTTTGCAGCCCCCTAATGACAATTACTGAGACTGTAAGCAATTTGTGGAAGGGACTGTCTTTTTTATATATGTTTGTATAGCACCAGCTACAATGGGACTAGGACCTCTAGGCACTACTGTAAAACAAATAATAATGATGATTAAGTAGTAATAAAGTAATTCTCTAACACAGTTTAAAATACATTATAGTGAATTAAAACAAGGCACAGGGATTAGTCATGTGGCTAACACTGGAATGGGTTACCTAGGGAGGTGGTGGAATCTCCTTCCTTAGAGGTTTTTAAGGTCAGGCTTGACAGAGTCCTGGCTAGGATGATTTAGTTGGGGATTGGTCCTGCTTTGAGCAGGGGGTTGGACTAGATGACATCTATCATTCTAAAGGTCTACAATAATCATCCATAATCACTCTAGACTGAAATTTTTCCTCTGGAGTTAAATGAGAAGGAAATAAAACATCAGTAATGAATAACCTTGAGCTATGTTGCCAAAGGGTAAATATTTCTAAAACTTAATCAAGTTTACAAAGTCCACATACATACTGACATTTTAGATGCTTATAAAATATTTCCTTACTTTACCAGGCCCACACTTTGTGCCTTCTTTAACCAGTAGAGGGTCATTCTCTGTGGGTGGCTTCATATAATCTAAAGATATACATACATGCTCGCGCACTTGAGCATAAATGATAGCAGCTTTTTCTTTAGTGAATGGAATGCGACTTGGATATGTACAAACTAACTTTCCACATGTGACATCCCTATAAAATTCAATAGCAGAGGAAAATAAAATGATACATGTGACAGCTGATTGAGCAATACATTAGAAAAATGAAACTGTAGAAAACAAATGGGGTATTGCACATATTAGAGCGATATAAAGGTCATGAGCAGGGCAAAGAAGGCAGAAGACTGATCTTTGAAATAAGGAAAGAACTGATGCAAATCCACCAGAGTACTCTTGCCTGCAAATGGGAATGAGGCCACAGTGGGGCACATATAAGAACATCAGAATGGCCATACTAGGTCAGACCAAAGGTCCATCTAACCCAGTAGCCTGTCTTCTGACAGTGGTCAATGCCAGGTGCCCCAGAGGGAATGAACAGAACAGGAAATCATCAAGTGATCCATCCCCTATCGCCCATTCCCAGCTTCTGGCAATCAGAGGCTAGGGACACCATCCCTGCCCCAGTAGTTTTGTGCTTCATGGACATGCAAGGATTAAACTTAAGGTCATGTTTTTTTTTCAGTTATGTTCATTCACGGTCCACACCTCAACCTTTATGTACCATGTGCTCTTCTGGTGGAAGAGGAAGCAGGTGTGCAAGGCATTAAGGTCTATTCTGTCCAGTGTGGAGCAATACGCCTAGTCAATAACCTTACTTGGATTCAAGCACAGCTTCTGCTAATACTTGCATTCCATGCTACAGTATCAAGGTCTAGATGCTCAACAACTGCACGTTCTTTGAGAATGGCCAAGGCTAATGTATACAGAACACCTGAGACTAAATGGAAATTTTATAAAGAAATTAAAGTAGCCTGAACGGATAGTAAACATTTGCACCATACAGTAGAGGAAAGCAGAAAATAAATATGTTTTTTCCTTAAAAACATACATCCAACTACAGGTTCGAAATCCTTTCTTCGGATCATTCCCACAGTGTCCAAACCTATCTGTTTGACTATTGATTTCTTCATAACATGCAAGAGGAGCATTTTTAGAACCTGTAAGTTTTGAGATAAGATTAAGTATAATTAAAAGGAACACTAAATCATTTATTAATCTATCAGTACTTCTAACATACTTATCATTGCAGTACCTGGGTGCTATACATGGATTAGAGAAAACCAGGAAGGATAAAAATCTGTATTAAAAAATCAGATATCTTTCTGTTCAAACTGTATTTTTATTTAAATTAAATACAGTTTTCTTTGTAAAAATAAACTTACTTTAAAATTAAATTTCAAATTGTAACAACCTATTTTAAGGCCTAAATTTACTATAATCTAGTAATCATTTAAATTAAATACAAAAATAATATTAAGCAGTACATTTACTGCTGAAGTTTTAAAGAAAGTCAAACCACTGAACTGGTGGAAGTCACTGACTAAGCACCTGGAACCAGAGTTTGTTGAAGTCTTAAACCAGCTTTAGACAGCAGTAGCCTCTTCTTCAGGTGCAAAGAGAATAATTTATACATTTCAGTTTATTCAACTAATTCAGTTCCAAACTAGTTCATTCAAAGTTGAGAAACCAATTGGGAGATGAAAAAGCAGGAAAGCTTGTTCTCCTCTTCCAGTCTAAGAATAAAAACTAGGTGTGAGAGGATAAGATCTACTAGGTTTAAATCATGAAGGAAATGGTGACCTGAAGAAATCAATTCGATTCACTACAATATTTCCTTTGTTTAATAAATCCATTAGTTTTAAAGCAAAACATGTTTTGATAAATTTTCTTGTGTATTTAGCACATTTAGGGTTGTTTTATTTAACTAATTTTTAAAAATTGTAAATGTTGGTTTTGTGCAGTTTTAATTGAATTCCAATTTTCATCCAAATAGAGCTTGACGCAAATCAGAAATAAAAAATGAATCGCCATTTATTTTAAAAATGAAATGCATCAGTCATCATTTTCTAACAACAAAAAAGCAAAAAATAAAGAATCTGAATAAGTGTATATTAAGCAATATATCTGCTTAAATAAATGTACATATATTGTATATCCTCCTGATTAGCAACAGGTAATACCAAAATTCAAAGAAAAGGCTATATTTAGTTGCAATTCAACAATGTTTTAATGGTTACAAATCAGTGAGCAGCAACCCTTCTCTAGGAAAATAGTGAAAAAGTACAAATGCAAAACATGATTAAATTTGATTATTTAGATCAAGGTTTCCTGCTTGCTGATTTGAATAATGATTTAAATTAATCTACCCTGCAGCAAAGAGTGAGATCTGTTCGGAATTGGTTTTCTAGTCTGCTATTTGGTTAGCAAAAAAGAAGACATATTTTACAAATGAATTTTAATTTACAATCACCACTTCATTTTTACTTTATTTCTATCAAATCTAAGCTTCTGGATAACCGCCATGCCTTTATAACAATGTTTAATATCATTGGACAACTTTAGACAAGTAATTTGGCCACTCTGTACCTCATTTCCCCACCATCAATACAAAGGAATAAATATGGTTAATCACTGTTATAAAGCGTTTTGGATATATGGATGAAAGTGGCTATGTAAGTCTTTATTATTAATTATTATTATTACAGCATTTAGTGGAACTTGATTTTAGAACAAACAAGAACATAATTGTCTCCATTACCTTTTCCATAGATCCTCTGACACTCTATATCAGGAGACTGGCAACGTCCTTTGTAACAATAGGCAGTATTGTGTTCGCATCTGTGTCCATTCTGAACATAAAGATCAGTTGGACAGAATGCAGATGACCCATTGCAGTACTCATTGAGATCACACTGACTATCAGCCGTGGGTCTACATTTCTTATTCTTTGCCTTAAACTAGAAAAAAGTAGGAATAAGGAGACTGTGCATGGTTTACAAAGATTATGGTCTATAATGTTTAAATAACAGAATATATGTAAAGCACAAGAAAAGATACAGTGAATAAGAAAATAACACCACCACATATATGCTGTTTAACGTGGTTGTCACTGACTGTGATGAATGTGAAAATTCCTTGTAAAATTCTTATATATATATACTATATGTATGACTGCAGGTCACCCAGGGTTCTTTTAAATCATTTCATCAATTTTTCCCTTGTCATGAAACATAAACTGATAGCCTCCCAAGCCCTCTGTCAGAGTGGCCCTGGTGATTTAGCATATGTCACTCTTCCCCTACGGGAGTACAGAAAAAATGTCCCACCACGATGCCAGGAGACATCATACTGTTAGAGGTATCAGCTTTTGGATGACATGTAAAATATGATCCTTTATCTCAGAAATATTTCATTTTAAAGCCCTAATCCCGCAAAATTATGCACATGCTTAATTTTACACATGTGAATAGTCCTGCTGACCCTGTCTGGAGAACTTGTTCCACTAGAAGGTGCAGAGATGAGATATATACCAATCTAAACTGTAGGAATGTGTTCCTCCCTAATCACAAGCCTTGAAGAACGGCAAACTGTTCCCTTGGCAATGAGGCAGGAGTGACCTTGTTCTAGCGCCTATGTTTGGGAAACTTATTTGGCTGATTTGATTGTTCCCTCGCAGCTGGTGTTCACGCGCTCAAGAGATGGGTTCGTTATCTTATGTGCATGCATACTGCCTGGCTTTCCTATGCGCAAGATTTGTACCAATGAGAAGCGTTGTAAGCAGGGAAGTGAAAAGAAAAAAAGCCACAGGA